GTGAATAATGTTTGCATGGTATATTATTTTCTACCTTTTAACTTTCAATATTTCTGTACCTTTACATTTAAAATGGATTTCCTCTAAACATTATATACCTGAATCTTACTTTTTTTTTTTAAAGGTCCTTTTTTTCTTTTTTTTTTATTATTTACTTTAGATGAAAGTTTACAGAACAAACTATCTTCTAGTTAAACAATTAGTACACATATTGTTTTGTGACATTGGGTACCAATGCCACAACACGTCAACACCCTTCCCTTCTCGACCTTGTGTTTTTTATTACCAGTTTTCTTGTCCCCTCCTGGCTTCTAGTCATTGCCCCTGGTCTGGTGCACCCCTTTAGTCTCATTTTGTTTTATGAGCCTGTCTAATCTTTGGTGAATGGTGAACCTCATCAAAATAAAGAAGAAAAACAAAGTCTCAGTAAACACAAAATCTACAAAAACAAAAGAAATGAAAAAAAATCCACAAACAAAATAATTCAGCACCGGAGACTAAGAGAAACAAAGAAACATCAGCACCACAAAAAAAAGCAATGCAAAATGATAGCAATAAACTCACATCTATCAATAATTACACTGAACATAAATGGACTAAATGCACCTGTAAAAAAACAGTGATGACAGAATGGATAAGACTCCTGCTTTTTTTCATACTGTCCAAAAACCTCCACTTTTGGATTTTTAGGACAAACATCTTTTTATCTTGGTGTGTTTGGTCCATTTATATCTAATGTAATTGTTGATATTGAGTTCACTTTCACCAGTGTTATCTGTTTTCTATTTATCTCGTCTCTTCCTTGTTCCTTCCTGCTTTGTTTCCTTCCTTCTTTGAATCACTTGAGTGTATTTTTGTATTTCATTTTCTCTCCTCCAAAGGCTTTATAGCTAAACCTCCTTGTTTTGTTTTTTGTGTTTACTTTAGTATGTCTCTTTAACTTACCACAGTCTACCTTGAATAATAATTTAAGGATATGTCATGGATAATGTAAAAGCTTTACAAAAATATAATTATTTTTATCCTCCCTGAAGTCCTTCATGCAGTTGTTGTTATATATTTTATTTCTTGTTGTTGTGTGCTGTCAAGTCGCTTCTGACCCATAGCAAACCTACAGAACAGAGCAGAATTGACTCATAGGGTTTCCTAGGCTGTAATCTTTACAGGAGCAGATTGCCAAGTTTTTTGTCCTGCAGAGCAGCTGGTGGGTTTGAACCACCCACATTTTTGTTAATAGTTGATTGCTTAACCACTGCACAATCAGGGCTCCTATTTTAGTTCTACATATAAGTCTCATAGCACTTTATTATGTTTTAATGTAGCAGTTGATTATCTTTTCAAGTAACTAAAAAAAGATAAAAAACATTTATACACTTATTTACCATTTCCAATACTTTTCATTTCTCCTTATAAATCCAGGTTTCCATCTGGTATATTTTCTCTTCATCAAGAAGAATTTCCTTTAGTACATCTTTTACTGTAAGTCTTCTGGCAACAAGTTCTCTCTAAGCTTCTCTGAATATTAAAATGCTGATTGTGTCATTATGTTTTAAGTTAACTGAGTTTAGAATTCCAGCTGGACAGTTTGGTTATGTGTTTTTTTTTTTTTTTTTTTCTCTAAGAACTTAAAAAATGTCATTTCATTTACTTCTGGCTTGCATTGTTTCTGGTGAAAAATCTGCCACAGTTTTTGTTGTTGTTCCTCTGAACTTTCTTTTCTTCTGGTTGCTTTTAAGATTTTCTTTACATCTCTTGTTAGCATCTGTTACACTATTGCATCATGGCTGTGGTTTTATTTGTATTTATACTGCTTGGATTTTACCTAGCTTCTTGAGTCTGTGGTTTGATGTTGATTTAAAATTTTGAAAATTCTTAGCAGTTATTTCTTCAAATATTTTCTCTGTCTCATTCTCTCTCTCCTCTTTATCTGGAACTTCAATTACACATATGTTAAAACTATTTGATGTTGCCTCAATGTATATTGACACTGTTCATATTTTTAAATCTTTTCTCTCTCTGTCCTTCAGTTTTGATTACTTCTGTTGATCTGTCTTTGCAACTACTATTCATTTTACCTGCAGTGCACAAATCATTCTTCAGCTCATCTAAGGTAATTGTTTTAATTTTAAATATTGTCATTTTTAGTTCTAGCAAATACATTATATTTAGTTTGCACTTCTTTCCTGAAATCCCCATCTCTTTATCCAATATATTTATCATTTATTCTAAATATTTATGTCGATTTTAAAGTCCTTGCCTAATAATTTCATAATATGCTTCAAATGTGAGTGTATTTCTATTGATACTTTTATAAACTATGAGATACTTTTCCATATTTTTTGCAAGACTTCTGATTTCTATTTTTTTTACATGTATAAAAAATAAATTTTTGGAAGATTAAAAAATATATTTAATTTTATTTTGTTCACTTTACCAGATAACTAAATCCTTTTCCTCTGTGTAGAAGTTAGAATGGTGGTCTAATCATTCAGATTCCTCCCAAGGACCAGTTGAACTGGAGCTTGGGGTCATCTTTAATTAGATTGAATTAAACTCTGATTAGTCTAACCCCCAACATCTGACATCATTCTACCAAGGACCCGATATATTTGATCTTGTCAGTATTTGAGAGGAAGAGGTTTGAATAACAATGCATATAGTTTTGTTTCCCTTTCAATTCTAGTCTGTAGACACAAACATCTAAGCATTGCAAGAATGGCTGGAAAAAAAAAAAAAAAAAAAAACCTGTTGCTGCTGAGTCAATTCCAACTCATAGTGATCCTATAGGACAGAGTAGAACTGCTTTACAGGGTTTCCAAAGAGCTGCTGGTGGATTCTGACTGCCAGCCTTTCAGTTACCAGCCCTATGCAAATTCCCTCTGATTTTCATTTCTTCCTCTGCTACTCCTTTTCTGGGAAAAATTATTCATATGGGTTTAGGATGAAAGGAATTTATAAAAGTGAGCTATTTATTTTTGTTTGAAGCTTTTCCTGATTCTAATCTGTATACATCCCACATATCATTAAAAACTCAGTTTGTTTCTCCTTATCCCTACAAAGTATCTTAATCTAAGGCAAGACCATTCCTCTACCTCCCCATACCAGATTAGTTACTTGCACTTATGTATGGAAGCTGCAAAAGGTCTCGTCTCTCTCTGGAGTTCAATATAATAAGATTTCTTTGCTTCATCTGTTCTTTGATAAATTTATAGAAAAATATAGTTTTTATTTTGTCCAGTTTTCTCTTCTTGATAATAAATGAGCAACGTTCTTCTAAATGCTAAAGAGAATCAGTGGTCTTTCCCTGTGGTTGATTTTTGATGACAAGCATCTCTTCTTATGTTTACAGGACTTTTCATGTGTTTCCTTTCTGAATTGCCTCTTTCTTTTTATTGCCCATACCTCCTTTGATAATGTATCTATTTTATATTCACTTACTGAGTTTCTTTTGTATTAAGGGAAATAACCTCTTATTGTTTATATCAACTTCCTTAGTTATAGCTTATTTTCATTTCTATTCAGGGATGCTCCCTTCTACAATTCTGGGGTCAGTAGGGACATGCAATTCCATATCCATAGAAATCTTATAGTTGTGCAGAAAATAATCCAGAGGGCAGATTTTTTGGCACTCTTGTCTTTTGCCTATACATATTTTTTTATTTTTGTATTTCAAATATAACTTTATTTTTCTTTTGATTTTCTAGTCTTCATGCCTGGTTTTTCTCTTGTCTCAGATTTTAAAACCATTCTCATGTATTTTTACCATATTTTTTGCATTGTTTTATTTTGTTTTCAAAAGAAGTTATGAACATATAAACTGATTTTCTAGAACTTTACATCTAGTTTTCCAGATTTTAACTATAAGATGTGTAACTTGAATTTAGAAAATAATTTAATTGAGGAGAGAAGCAATAATACGAGAGGCACTCTGGATGATTCCCTGGATTCAAGACTATGGCAAATTGGTGTGTTCCTGAGACAAGAACTGACAAAGCAGCTCGTTGTTTTCCCTGTCTCCTGTTGTTGCAGGGACTGGTCACTTGGCAGGTTAGTTCTACAATGTTGTTCTGGGAATCATTTCTGGATTCTCAGCTTAGCCAATGATCTTCTGCCCTTCAAAAGATAGTACAAGTACCTAATTTTCCACATTAAAATTTATTATAGTTAAAACAACTTGAGTGATTTCTATCATCTGCAACATTGTCATAATCATAATCAGAGTGAAATCAATTTGGGGAAAGCTTTAACATCCAGGAAGGATTTGCAAAAACCTGTTAGTAACAATCAGAAGCTTTGAAGAAAAAAAAAACCAAGTGAAATAATTTCACAACATTTTTCCATGAAACCTATCAGCTCTCTTTCTTATCCTCAACCAAATTTTGAATAGAAGAAAAAAATTATAGTTTCTTTCAAAATATACATGCTGTCAGGACATTTGGCTCTTAATGATGTTTTATAGCTTATTGATCCCTGCCCAGAATCTTGAGGATGTTGCCCTAAGCCACACAGAAAACAATCAATTGTAGCTAAGTCACTCTCTTACTTTAAACCTTAAAATGGATTCTTATTGCAGTTAGAATATAATCAAGCTCCTTATCCCAGCCTAAAACACCTTACATATTTGACTCTTACAGTCACATTAAATTTAATACTTAAATATCTCACACATACTCATTATACTCAAATCAGCATGATTTTCTTTATATTCTTTAAGTATACCAAGTTATTTTTTTTCTTTTTTCTCTCAGTGTATGTAACTCTCTCTCCAGTGCCTACAATAAACCAAAAACCAAACCCATTGCCATCAAGTCAGTTCCTTCCAGTGGGAACTCATTCATTCATCTAGCAAGTACTAGTTTTTATTGAATGTTTCCCATTTGTCAGGTGTCAAAAATACCACCTGACAAATGGGAAGCATTGAGTAAAACCTAGTATTTGATAGTTGAATGAATGATTTCAGGCTGGAATTCTCCTTTCTAGAGTTCTCTTATAACATCCATTTAACAGAATGCATGTCTGCTCAATAGCTTCCTCATGGAAGATTTCACTTCCTGGTTGCGAAGGGTATAAATCACAGGATTCATCAAAGGAAAGATCACTGTGTGAAAGAAGGAAACCACCTTATCAGCTGATAAGGCCCTGAAGGGGCAAGTGTAGATGAAGATGGCAGGTCCAAACATGAGAAATATAATAATTATGTGAGTTGTGCATGTGGACAGAGCCTTGTTCTTTCCTTCAGAAGAGGACCTATATACATGCCAGAGGATGACCGCATAGGAGACCAGAAGGCCTAGGAAACACAAGAGGGTGAGTAAGCCACTGTTGAAGACCATAAGCAGCTCCACCACAAAGGTATTTGTGCAGGCCAGCTTGATGACCTGTGGGACATCACAGAAGAAGTTATCCAGCTGGTTTGGGCCACAGAAGGGCAAGCGGAGGATGAGAGCTACCTGGATAATGGAGTGGACAAAGCCCCCAAACCACAAAGTCAACAATAATGCATAGCAGGTTCTAGGGCTCATGACGGTTGAATAGTGTAAAGGCCGACATATGGCGATATACCGGTCAAATGCCATCACTACAAGTAGTAACCCCTCCCCTCCTCCAAGAAAGTGCAAGAAGAAGAGCTGAGTGATGCAGCCTCTGTAGGAGATCACCTTCTTCTCAGAGAGGAAGTCTGCCAGCATTCTGGGAGCCACAATGAAGGAGTAGGATGCATCCAGGAAGGCCAGGTTGCCCAGGAAGAAGTAGAGGGGGGCTGAGAGACCAGGGTCTGATCTGATGGTGAGGATGATGAGGAAATTCCCAGGAAGGATGATGAGGTAGAAAATTAAGATCAGCACAAAGACCAGGAGCTGAATATCTCGAGACTGGATAAGACCAAGAAGGACGAATTCTGTCACCACTGTGCTGTTTCTTATCTCCATTTCCTTTGCCTACAGAGCATCAAGGAGTAGAGAGTTTATTTCCACCTCTTACATCTATACCATAGGTCTTCTCAAGCTAAAAGCAGGATATTTCACATCCGTGTTAGACCATTACTCTCCCACAGGCTAAGAAATCTGTTTTATCCTCATTCTTCTAAATTTCATTAGTGCCAATGCCCTGGTCTTCAAGCTGCACTCTTTCACTTCTGTCCTGTGCTTGTATCTAACTGTTCTCTCATGTGGGACTCTGGTATACCCTGATCCGGATTGGTTCCTGATTTGCTTGAGGCATATTAAAATTTTCCTAAGTGAGAAAAATTAACCTCAGTTGTTGAGGTCTTCTGGTTTTTATTGGAATGTGGGGAAGAAATTGATAGCAGAGAGGAATGATGGATTTTTTTAAGGTGATAGAAATTTTCCATATCTTAATTGTAGCAGTTGTGCATGTCTATTCATGAAAACTTATTTAACTATACAAAAATGGTACATATTTTGTATATAAATTATATTTTATGAATGTTGATCCAAAAAGAAAAAAAAAAAAGAAGTTAGACTTACTCTAAATATCTCCTTTTATCACTATAGTACATCAACCCATCAAGCTGGTTTAAATAAAAAGAATACTTGTCATTCTGATCTCAAATCAAGAACTGAGTCTTACCTGCATGGTAGTTCCAATGTGGGAATACACACCCTGGGGAATGCACATAATGATTTATTGGTATGAAAACAATAGTAGAATTTCTATTCATATATAGTGTTCTTCATTCTCCTTTGCTCCAAGTGGGTTGGTACCAATTAATATTCATAAATTCATATCAATATCAATATATTCAATTGCTATTCATATAGTATTGTATCATTCTTTTAAGTTCTATTTTTTGAAAGTTTTATGCTTTATAAATAATCATAGTATAATTAAACATATAAATACATAAACATATATATATGTTGATGATGTGTGCTCAAAATGTTTTATTGTTGAGATGAAAATTTTTTAAAGCGTGAATACTTTTAATTAAGCTAGAGCAAAATAAGCAACATCAAGATAAACGGAGAAAAGATCAAAGTTGTCAAGGATTTCATTTTACTTGGATCCACTAACAACACCCATGGAAGCAGTAGTCAAGAAATCAAACAACACATTGCATTGGGCAAATCTGCTGCAAAAGACGTCCTTAAAGTGTTAAAAAGCAAAGATGTCATTTTAAGGACTAAGGTGGTCCTGACCCAAGCCATGGTGTTTTCAATTGCCTCATACACATGTGAAAGCTGGGCAATGAATGAAAAAGGAAGGCCAAGAAGAATTGATGCCTTTGAATTATGGTGTTGGCAGTGAATATTGAATATACCATGGCCTGCCAAAAGAATGAACAAATCTGTCTTGGAAGAAGTACAGCCAGAATGCTCCTTAGACAGGAGGATGATGAGACTTCATCTCACATACTTTGGACATGTTATCAGGAGAGATCAGTTCCTGGAGAAGGACTTCATGCTTGGTAGAGGGTCAGTGAAAAAGAGGAAGATCCTCAAGGAGATGAATTGACACAGTGGCTGCAGCAATGGGCTCCAGCATAACAATGATCATGTGGATGGCACAGGACCCAGCAGTGTTTCTTTCTGTTGCACACAGGCTCGCTATGAGTCAGAACCTACTCGATAGCACCTAACAACATAACAACAACAACAGAGCAAAATACAACAATATTTTACATGTTTTCAGTTACATTGCACACTTGTTATAAAACCAAAACCAAACCCGATTCTCCCCAGTTGATTCCAACTCATAGCGACCCTATAGGACAGAGTACTACTGCCCCATAGTGTTTCCAAGCAATGGCTGGTGGACTCGAACTGCAACCTTTGGTTAGCAGCCTATCTCCTTACCACTGTTCCACCAGGGCTCCTATTATAAAGCAGTATCGTGGATTATAAGGTGTAGAGGAGAGGATGAGAGTAAGTCCACTGACTTTAACTGAAGGGGGAAACAGAATGAAAAAAAAGAGAGAGGAAGAAGAAGGAAAAGAGAAATAATAAAGTACAAAATAAGAACTCAAAGGAACTATCTACAACGTTATTTTAAGACACATCTATTCAAAGCATCAAAATGTCTCCTTTTTTTATATCTAAGCCCAAATTGATTCATTAACACATAGTCTAAGTGGGAATTATGAAAGTGATACTTACACCACATGGCATACATATGTCACCACCACATACACAAAGCACACATCTTGTGTCCTAATCAAAACTGAAGTACAAAAGTTTATCTATGATGTCATTCAAATTAGCTTTCTCTTTCTTTTTTTTCTTCTTTTTTGCATTTTGACATTCATTGGCCTCAACATTTATTATTCCTTCTGTGCATAAAACCTGCTGTTAGGAAAGTAAGTCAGGAATCTCTCAAGTTGTGTGCATCTTGCATGCTATTTTACAGTTGCTTATTTCAGACTCAGAAATTGAAGATGTCTTCAGGACATAGATGAAACTTTTAAGTATCTCTGAGGTTAAAGATTGCAGGCTTTTTCACTCTGCCTTGTGTTTTATTTCTTATCTTCCACTTCTGTTCTCCTATTGACTCCTTGTTATTGTTGTTAGTTAGTACTGAGTTGGCTCTGACTCATGGCCACCTTATTTCTAGCAGTACAAAATGTTGCCTAGTCCTCTGCCATCTTTCTGATAATTAGTACGTGTGACTCTATGGACTTCTTAGCAGATGGAATTCATTGTCATCTACCGTTTTGATTCACTGTGCCCCCTTATCCCATTTCCCTCTGTTTACCTTTGTAGTACCTGTGATGCTCACATCGTGCTCATCAGATATCAAGAGAGAAGATATATGCTCAAGAAATGGATGTTACTCTAGGAAAAATGAGGTTAGTTCCTGAAAAAAATAAAAGCACAGAAATCTCTGCAGTGAAAAACATTCTGTTCTAACTATATGAAGAGAAGGACTGCTGTCAATGGAAGTTGAAACAGAAATCTGAATGTTTGCCACTACCTCCACCTATCTTTCCATTTCATCTGCTACAAAGATTCATCTGGTGCTGGTAAGGCTAGAGCAGGTGCAGGTGATGGAGATGAATGCAGACACACAGCCACCTAAAGGCTGGACTGTGCGCTGTGCATGCTAGGAGTCCAGGCTGCTGTTAGAAAATTCAAGTATGGAGACTGGATCACCAAAAAAACTTTAAAAAGTCACTGCCATAAAGTTGATTCCAACTTAAAGCGACTCCATGGGACAAAATAGAACTGCCCCATAGTGTTTCCAAGGCTGTAAATCCTTATGCAAGCAGACTGCCACATCTTTCTCCATGGCAGTTTCCAACCACCACAACCAAATGCTTTAACTACTACAACACCAGGACTCCAATCACCATCTACAGGAGTCAATTCTCCCATTTCCCTTCGTCATAATTTTTCATGCATCCTTCTTTAATTTTTCTTATCTTTTTCACCCTTCTCAGTCCATCTTTGTATACTTTATTTTCTTCAGTTATATTTCTACATTAGAATTGGCTTCATTTTCTCGATTTTATTTTCTCTCATTTTTTTCTCAAATTAATCTTGCTTTTTCCTTAATTTCTCTCTCTTATATTCTTTCTTCTTTTTTCCTTTGATTTCTCCATATTCTTTCAGTTTGCAATCTTTTTTTCACTCTTCTTGTCTTCTCTATTCATTTCTCTTTTATTAACTCCCATATATGCCTTCCTATTAATTCTGTGAAAACCCACTATTGTTTTCTTTTGAAGCAAGAGTGAGCACAGTAGTTCCTTCCTAACTTTCTTCACTCTAATGGATTGTTCTAAGCATTAAAAGTATGTAACTCACCTTTCAGTATGAAGTCTTTCCTCTTTAATAATATCCTCCTTAAAATGTACGAATGTGATCATTTTTTAATTATTTCCTATTTCTTCAGATATTTCATATTTGTAACTGCTATTAATAAAAATATAATCCACCTTTATGCTCAAAAGAAATTTCTCATTATTCTATGCTACTAGCAAATTTATATTTTAAAAACTTCCAAAAATAAGAATGTGACATCTATTAGAATGTGATATCTAGTCTGTAAACCATTAACATACAGAATTACTAGTCACTGTGTGTTCTGAAAAATGTGGATGAGGTTAAAGAACATCATCAAATATTTAACTGATACCAATGTTGATGACAGCTCTAAAAGGCACTCTACAGATATATGGAATCATTAGCATCTAAATGGCCTCCAAATCCCTTCAAATGCTATGACTTTTAGGCAAAATAATGAATGTCATAGAAAAAGTCCTAGTTTTGGCATCAGGCTATCTGGGGTTAAGTGTTTTATCCTATAATTCTTAACTATTAGAGTTTGGAAAGTTCACTCAGTCTTCCTTAGCCTGAGTTTTTTCACCATCTCAAAGTATTGATGTGAGAATCCAGAAAGAAGAGGATGATACCAATAAGTAGCATTTTCAAGTCTAATTAAACCAAAACTAAACCAGGAAAAATCTAGTTGCTAAGAGGAGATTTGGTTTCTAAGAAGTAAAAGTATGGTAATAGATCCTCGATCCCTGCTTTTGGAGTTAATCCCTGGGGAAATAGTAACTGCATAAATCTGTGAGATGGTAGGATACAAATTTATGGAGGTTCCACTTCAGCCAGTCATCAAAGCCTTATATTGGTATGCTGGGACCATTTATAAGAAAAGAAGCTCCCATCCCAGCTCAGTGTAGGAACAAGGTCAGGGCAGGTCTTCTCCAAAATCATGAAGGCAGTGAAGATTTTCTCTGCAATCCTCAGCCTAGCACTTGTGCTCTGATTGTGAGTCTCTTTCTCTTCTCCTCTTTCATTTTATAGATGATGTAAAAATGTAAGACCAAGTATTAGCATCCCCAAGGCTATTAGCATTTTAAGAAAAGCCTTATATATTCCCATTAAAGTAATTCTAAATATCAGGAGCCAAAAAAAAAGTTGCCATTGAGTCTATTCTAAGTCATGGCCACCCCATGTGTGTTAGAGTAGAACTGTGCTCCATAGGATATTCAGTGGCTGTGACCTCAGAAACAGACTGCCAGACATTTCTTCCAAAACTCCTCTGAGCTGATCTAACAGCCATCCTTAGTAGCTAAGCATTTAATTGT